TAGGTCTTAGACAAATTATGCAAAAGTCGTTAACGAACTTCTTACATTCGTGCATCGTATATTTATAAGATATTTTAACCTCCGTTTGCGATAAATCTGCTGTACCCGTCTTCGTAAATCCGCGGGTTAAACCCGTATATCTTTGGCATCGATCGCGAGTCCCCCTACCTGCTGCTAGGTGAAATAGATATATTGTATTTTTATTTTATTTAGCATTTACCTCACATCAAATCATAGTTTAAAAAAATGAAAAATATAAACCAATTACAAGCAGATGAGAGGTAAGTGTGTCTGGTTTAATGGACCACGCCCTACTAGGGGTTAGAGATTCAGAAACTTCACAATAGTGGTTAAAGAGAATCTTTAAGAGTGGATGTCAGCAAAAATCGAACAAAATCGAAATTTCGTGACAACAGTCAGAATTTAGATTTCGCTCATATTTACAAGTTTGGTAGGGCTATAGGTCCTATGAATCGTGGTATAATTGGTTTGCATAAATTCGTTTTATTTTACGAGAAAATCGAAAAGAACGATTTTTTGCTTCAACGCCGCTATTTTGGTGGTATAATGTTGCCTAACTTTCAAGGCTTCGCGTTGGTTTGGAATACAAAATAACACCGTAAACTCCGTATATACTTCGAATATTACGTAGAGTATCTCCCAGCCAAGTTTGAAGATTTTTGACAAAATTGTTTCGATAAAATAAAATATTTAGGCTGACCTCCTTCAAAAATTCATTTCACCCCGTACTACGCAAAATAAAGCAATCAAATTCAGGATTTTTGAAGATACCATGCTGTTCTTGATGCTTGTATAAATATATTTTTGGATATTTTTGATTGAGCGAAATACAAGAAAAAGTCAGAATACTTGCTATTGGGCTTCCTGTGGTGCTACAGACTTTCTCTCTTTCTTACACAAACGATTACATAATGGTTACCACTTCTATAGAAGATGGTAGCCACAAAAATGARCCTATGGTATTACTGGGTTTCACTTGACGTCATTTCCTGTCTTATGTAGAATCGGTTCATCAGCTGAACCACATATTTGCACTGTACATTTATCACAAAACATTTCAGTCTTCAATTATCTTTTTATCATTATTATTTGAATTGTCACATTATTTTTATCTTTTCCTGTCCCAAGCTGTTATATATTACATTTTGCCGCTCTCGAGGTCTGCTTTCATTAGATTGCATACCATATAGCTGTGAAAAACTTTGTAAGAAATTGCACAAATTTGCACAAATTAGAAACGTTCCGTAGACCTCAGTATACCGTAGAGCTACAAACTTGTGCACTAATTTGTACAATTTTGTATGTAAACTTTTTCACGGATATATGGTATGCACTTAAATGGTTATGGAACGTTGAGCAAATGAATAAATTTGCGTGTCATGCATTAGAATTGTTTCTTGACATTGGCAAGGGGTGGAAAGATCAAAAAGTAGTCTAAACAGCGTTTGTTATCAAAGTCGAGCTTCGCGACACTCATGTGTGGGCGTAATGCAGCGGAAAYGAGTCATGCAAAAGAAACGGATCGTACGTAAACACCTCTATTCACATAAATCTAGCAACAGTCAGTTGCCCAGTCAGTAGTTTACTCAGTTTACTGTGATCGGTAAGATATTTAAGCTTGTGTCTCCTCAGTCAAGACTCAGTAAAAGTATTTTGCTAAAGTATTTACGCGATTAAGGATAAAAGAAGACTGGTGAATGTATACAAAAGACAGTCACGCATGGCACGGTTAATGCTCTCACTGTCTTTGTTGTCTTAACCACAATCGTCCACACTGTACAAACAAGTCTCTGCTTCTATTATATATAAATTATGCTTTATTTGTCTTCATAGAAGAAGTATACGATAACGAAGTAGACCATTTAAATCTAAAAAAGATATATAATTGGTTYTATATTTAAGGTTAAAGGACGAATAACGTACGATTCGGTTGGGGGGAGAGCAATGGGAGAGCAATTGACATCTTGACAGAGTGTCGTGAGCCAAATAATTGAATATTAATAGATAATTTTTATGGTAGTTTTGACTACCAATTAAGGCTATTACAGTCATAAGAAGTGAAGGACATGCTCTCAGATTGCTGCAGTCCATGTCATATGCCACTTAATCTAAGTTCTTGATTTTCTTTTTGACTTCATCTCATATTCAGAAACTTAAGAACTTTTTGAATACTTGGACGACTTAAACAGGCTCTTCTTTTCAGTGAATCAATTTTGAAAGATGTCTGAAGTTGTTGTTCGATTAGCGGATCATAATGACTATAAAAATCTAGATAAAGTCTTCCCTGCTCAAGACAAAAAATCTAAACATGGATTTGGATCCAATCAATCATCATTTCAAAGTCTTCTTCTTCGAGAATCCCATAAGGTGTTTGTGGCAGAAAAGAACAGCAAAGTTATTGCCGCAGCGATTGTTTGTATAGTTGACGCTGGTTCAACGCTTGTTCACAGAAATATTTTCATTCAACATTCATCTAGAGAAAACAATTCGCTTTCAACATCCTTTCTGGAGGAGATTTACAAGTATGTGCAATCTACGTTCCCTCGGCTTCGACGAGAGCGATTCGTGTCAAATTGCGAAGCGATGACTCGGATGTTGTTAGGAAAAGAAACCCAAATTTCGGACATCAAGAAGCTCAAGGAACGAACCCCGTTTAACAAGGCTTTTGAAATTCACCGCAAATACATTGAAGTACCTGGCGGTATCTCATTTGGAAGGATTCTGGACAAACTGGCAAGAGAATGCTCATTGGTTTATCTTTCAAAGAGGCAGGCGGGAAAATACATTCTAGAAAATGTCAGTACTTTTCAATGCCATACAATAATTATGGATGATGTACCATATTACGTACAGTTATCAGATTCGGATGCTTTTTTTGATGACACCGAATGCTTATTGGGAGAAAAAGGAGGTCAGAGCGAAGAATCAGATATTTTTCAAGTAAAAGTTCGTCAAAACGAGTTGACTCCATCGGGAAGGAACAGCCCATCGAGACGGTCATCAAGTCATTTAATCAGCGTTCTTGACAGTCTACATACGAGCCTACGAAGTATGAACGGCACTTTAAGAGGTCTTTACGATAGTCTACTCGCTTCAATGCCCAAGTCTTTTAGCCATGGCAAACAGCTTTCAAGTTCCAACAGTTGTACCAATTCTTGGGAAACTATGATTTACACCGACGATGCTAAAGTGTTCCGAGACCACATCATTGAACAACTAAGGGCTGCTCTATTAAGGGTCAAAGGCCGCTTTGTTTTAAGACTTTCATTCAGTGGAGATTTAATCAAAGTGGCAATAAAAGTACTAAAGGATGAGCTTGGTCTGAAAATATTTGAAGATACAGATGATAGTGTGGAAGTTTACGAACGACTGATGCAATTGCCTTTGGAAAACGTGGTACAAAAAGAGAACCAGTGAACAAAAGTGAAAAAATTTCCATAATTTGAAAAACATAACGGTTTATTGATTAGGAGTTAATCTGATGCAGAATTCAAAAGTGGATCCAAAAGAATGAAGAACTTGGACCAATGCAAGTGATAACTTATGTTTAAATACTAAAGAACTAAAAGGAAGGAAAGAATAGAATCGATCATTCCAAACTATCATTTCATTTTCTCTATAGTGTTGACAATTGGAAATAATACTCAAAAGTACAGCAATCGCTTTTATGAGCTAATAATCATATATAGAGCGGCTCAATATTAGAATAATTCAACTTTATAGAATCTTAATATTTGAGATTTTTGCGAAGACACTTGAACAATGTAAAATTCTTTACGCAATGCAGATAAGTTGTTCGGCAATTAATAGCTCTTCAAATTTATAGTCATATTTGATATCTAGACTTGAAAAGACTTATAATCATGATTGTTTTAGGGTTTTGGGCATCTAATACGTCTTTTTTGGATAGAATTCATTAAACATAACGGAGTTTTGATGGCAAGTAATGCCGATTAGTGCGTACGTGAGCGGACGTGTAAGAGGTTCATCACCTTAAAAAATGATATCTTAGATTAGTAAGTAAATCAATTCAAGAATGTCATCTTCATAAAGCCATAAAGACCCAAATTAGAGTAAACGTGCACAGTGTCAAAGTAGAACGGGAAATTGATGTAAAGTATTAGCCCTTCCGATCGAGGTTGAGGAAAAGACTGGGTCGAGTTGGCATTACAGTGCATTTTGGGATGTTTTAGGGGACGATGTTGTGACGTATAAATATTTTTGTAAGGGTTTCCTGTGGGAAGTGCTGGTTCGGAGGTACCGGGGGGCAGTCGTAGATAGAAGTAAAGAGAGTAAGAAGTTTACTGTAAAAAAACGAGAGCGAGAATGTCCTAGAATCCCCTCGGGACAGCCAAAAATTTGTAAGTCTATTTTTTGAGTTTGTTAGAAGTTTATTGACATTTTGGTGACTATATATATATATATTTTGATTCTACAGCGAATCGTGTATTCTCGTGAACCTATATTCGTGTGAACGTGCAAACTGATTACGAAGGAACGATGTATGTAATTGATCGACGAAACACGTTGAATAAAACCTGTGAAAATACGCATCTCGACTTTCGACCTAGTCCCGAGGCAGAGCCGTTTAAAACGCCTACAGACGAAATAGACGCCGTTTGGAAATGTGTCTCCTAAAACAGCCCCACAATACACTGTGACGCTAACTCCACCCAGTTTTTGACCTCAACCTCGGAAGCGCTAATACAATGAAAGGGAGTACTAGGACATCCTGACTACTTATCGTTAATGTTTAATGTTTTTCAGTGTGACTTATAGGTCTTAGTGGAATTAAGGGGAGATGGGATATCAGGGGGAGCCTTTCTTTCTATTGCACTTCTCTTCCTAGTACTCTCTTCCTTTTTTCTTGCTTTACTAAATGTTTGAGAAAAATGAGAGAAGTAACTAGTAACCAACAAGAGGCTTAGAATTGATTCATAACTTTCTTTCCTTCTCTTATGGTTTCTTTTTTTTTGCAAAAAATGTTTATCATGGCTATAATGCTCGGCTGGATCCTTTTTTTTTWAATTTGGAAAAGCAAAAATTGGAATATAAGGTTTTATTCCCTAAAGCTGCCGATTGACTTATCAAAATGTTAATTATCAAAATTAATGACATTTCAAAATGCCTTAAGGGATTACTGATATACATTTCTTTCTAATTTCTTTCTTTTTTCTTTCTTTGTTGGTAATCACTTAATAAAATAAACATAATTAGCTCCCTCTTGTCCTACACCGTCCCAGCACGCAGAGCTGTTTCCGTATTTCGCATATGTGTCCAAAGCAGAGGGTCCGCTCCAGCACTCTCCATAAAACTGGATACCAAAAACCTTCCATCCTTGAAAATACAAAAGACTTTTGGTTATGGTCCACACAATTAATATTGACGATTAAGTGGACGCTGACATTGTAGCACGCGCTTATGATCAATAAATCTATTGGCATTTTAGAAACAAAAGCTTTCGGCCTATCCACCCACATTTGGATCAAGGAGATGAGAATGTAAGTTTATGAACATGTTTCATTCCCTTGAATAGCATTTATTTCTTTGTCATTTACGATTAAGAAAATATATCAATTTTGATTCAACTCCAAAATACATAGTAATTTAGCTCCAAATAAAGGAAAATGTAGCTTAAAATGAAGGAAAAAAGGAGTAGCCCTTCCCCCTTTCTTTTCTTGGCCCCTTCTCACTCCCYCCTCTCTCCTCTTTTCAAGCATTGCTAAGATAAATAAAAAATATAAAAAATTACTATGACAAAAAAATGAAAAATAAAGATAGAATATTTCCACTATTTTATATGAAAACTAAAGAAACAAGACAAGCGTAGTCTTGTTTCATTAGTTTTCGTATTAAATTGTCTTTTTAAGGTCGATTTTATTTATATTTTCCTACCTTTTTGTTTGACCATCTTAGCGCATGTAATTACGGTCTTATCTAAGTGCCACCAATCGAGATCCGGTCGTAGGTTCTTTACGAGGATCGGAATCGCTCTGGGTTCATTTTCATCAAAACAGCCCAGGCCTTCAAAGCGGAGTTTTTCTGAAAGCAGAACAATTTACAGACAGCATAAATATACTCGAACCCTTTTCCCCCCAGCACCATGTCTTTATTTTAATAATGTGATTAATAATATAATACACAAATCTGTTTGTAAGACAGTAAAAATTATGAGCTCGAGATAAGATTTGAACCCACAGCCTCCCATACTGTTAGATGTAGTTGGATGCTCATCAGGTTTTTATCAATTTTAATTATTTTCTATTACCAGTACAAAAGTTTATATTTAATTAGTTTACACGTAATTTCCTGTTGTGCAGTTCACGGCCCTGTACTTCCGATGGAAGGTTTCAGCAACAGCTAGGCATGGTCTTCTTTCTTATTAGTTTTTAGAATTGGGATTCGAAGATGCTTTACTGACAAATCACGTAGGGGGGAGGGAGGGAGGGAGGGGAGGGGAGGGGAATGGGTAGAGGGTAGGTGAGGGCTGAGAAAATATTTTGTATAGAATGGGTCGCAAGAGCCAGTACACTTACCAAGAGGACAAGGTTCTTTATTGCAGACCTTCATGAGAACCCCATACCCAGTACAGTTAGCTTCAGGCCCCTTGTAGCAAGTACGTCTTTTTGATGTACATCCTGCACCGCATGTCTTGATGCATGGTGACCAGCTACTCCATGATCCCCAACCCAAAACTAAAAACAAACACTGTTAACCACGGTGACTTGAGCAGCTATTCATTATGCATGGGGAATCAAATGTGGTGTAATAGTAATACGCAAGCCTTTGACGTTAACACTATCGTGCTATCGTGCTCGAATCCCGCGATGAAGGACTCGAAATTACATACATGTGAGTATATAGTTTGTTGGATCTTTCCCTTGATTCGACTGAGGGATGTTTTCTCCTGGTTTTCCGGTTTACTTCCCTCCGCAACACCCGATTCAATCTGCTCTCGCAATTATTCAATAACATATGGACCCAAATTAGCTTTTTCAGGGACGGGGATTCAATCGTGTGTGCGTGTGTGTGTGAGTGTGATATTTCAGTAATCACTATAGACAACTAGTTTGGGTACTCATGCTGCGACGGGATAAAAATATAAATACATATTTTAATGCGCTCAGCTTGATAAGTCCTTATTCTTACCCCTATCGTTGCAGCATTTCCCAGTGTGGCTCTCACGACAAACACACTTTCCTTGACTATTCAGCACTCCATCGTTCATACATCTATTACCAAGACAGGAACGCGTCTCCTTCAGAGCAGGGCAAGGTAAACCTTGACAACTGTGGGCTTGTAGTTGATTTCTGAAGCGGGTTTGATGTCCAGGGATTCCCAGGCAGGACTCAGAACACTCGGACCACAATGACCAGTGATTAACCTTACAATCCAAAGGAGAACAAGATGAATCCAGGCCATGAAAAGATGCACATGTGCTCTGCTTTGCAACAATGACTAATAGCAGAAAGTAGATCATGTTTATCAATGAATTAGTCTGACATGACTATGGACAAAAAACTTTAAGCAATTATTAAGGCTAATATTGCTAAAGCCAGAATTAAGACAAGGAAGACACAAGTAGGGTAGCCAAATGTTCTAGTTATCGATAAAGGAATGTCAATATTAGTAAAGCCTTGCAAACTTTGCATTTACATTAGCCATTTGGATTGTTTACTATTATCTTTTTGTTTCGTTTTCATACAAGAAAAAACAAAACAAAACAAAACAAAAAAACAGCATCTTTTTTCAATAACAATTCTGGGAGGAAGGGGTCGTGAAAACTCATTTAATAACATCTCGAGTAATTTATTAATTGAGCTATTTGTAAACTCGTTCATATTGCATATAAAAGTAATTACGAACAGAAGAAAAAAAAAACTCTCAAAGCTTTAACTACATCTAGAACTAAAATGCTGGGCTAATGAGTGATAAGAATAAGACGATCATGCAAAATAGTTTGAAAATTTTGGAAATAATTAGTGTAATTAATTTATTGCATGTATATGTAAATTTTTGATGACCACTTTCAGTATATAATTTTTAAATTTCAAAATATTACTTAGCCTTTCCTTCTGTTATGTTAAAGTAGCATATAATCCAGGACCCAAGTGTGAGATCGATAATGACAATGAAGCTACTGCGCACTCTTCTACACGACGACGATGACCCCATTATTTTAGCCCACGATGAAAGCGCCAAACTAAACAACAAAAACGCTCAAAACCGCAAATGACATTCGAAATTCTATTGAGGAACCTTTTACGCACGTTTCACACTTTAAAAGCAGGAAAACCCTCAATTGCACTGGATTCTATATATCTATATAGAGGATATTACATGGGCGCGCGGAGATACGAATTTTATCCTCGAGTGTTGAAAAGATTTTCAACACGAGAAGATAAAATTCCTATCTCCAAGCGGACATGTAATATTCTGTTTATTATATAATTATCAATGAAGTATGTTTTGGCTTTTTCAGGCAATTCTTTCCGTGTATTTTTGAATAGCCATCGCAGTGGTGTTATTTTCACACCTGAAAATAACATGTTATTTTCACGTGTGAAGATATCAATTTTTCGAAATAGAGAAAATAGATATTTCATTGGTAATTATATAATAAATATATATATTTCTGATTTCTGATAGGATAAATAAAAAATAAACTTTTGACAAAGTTTTAAAAAATGGCATGGGTTTTAGAAATAGAACCAGCAGTAAGTACAAAGTTTTGCACTTGTCCGTAGACAAAATATGTCAAGCACAGGAAGAATAGAAAACTTATAGGCACTAAATTTATCACCTTTATATGCCGGTATATTTCAATATTCCTGGGAAATAAAGTTCGGTAGACAAGATCAATGTTCAGTGAATTTTTGAATTTTCATCGAAACTTTTTGACACGCTTCCCCAAGAAAGCATAAATAAGATAGGGAAACATCTTAATAACGCGCACGCCATGTAAATTCCCGGTTGGTCATCCGAGCCACGTTAAGGTCTAGAACAGTTTTCTTATGACTGAAAAGCTTACGGCACGAACAAGGTCGTGACACTCTAAGGGATACGCCAGACCAAACATATTGCTCGAGAATTTACTCATAATTTACATCCAATCAAATACACGAAACACACACGGTATAACCACGGCGCGGACACGGTCACGCCAGGGTCACGCCACTGCATGACAAATCACATTGCACAAATCACAAAATCAGCCAAATTAAAATTCTAGAAAACATCACGGTCATGGCAAGGTACGCTTGCCGGTCATACGATAACTGCTCTGGCTAACCATTTATAGATGTTATTATGAAGGCAGCACAAATTATCCTGCAAAGAAATTTGACAAATCCTTGGCGCCGCTCGCCGTTTGAATGTCGGTCCCCGCAAAATATTCTACAGATACTTACATTATATAGTATTCATAGCGTTTTTTATTTCTTAGAATTGCTCGAAATAACTATGACGTGATTGTCACGTGATCTCCTTTTTATATCACCTTGACGGATGACTCAGGACCATTCACCCGCTTCCAACGAGACGAACGAACCCTCGGTGCCGTAAACCACGAAGAAATTCAACAGCAAAAATAAGTAACCAAAAAGAACCCAAACAATGTCTAAGGTAAGATGAGAATCTAAATGTACGTTATGATTTTCCTCAGCGAATATGTAATATGAAAGGAGTTATCTGAACAATAATAATGCCTCACTTGGAAATGAATCGAATAGAAAATAGAAAGTTTCTTCTTAAATTGTATTTTCCAAAATATTACTACTATTCATTGAGGTATATTTTATATTGTATAAATTATGTGTATATGGAGGCTTTTTTATTGGAAATTACGTTGGTAGATAAATTATATACAGTGACTTGACTAGCCGGTACCGCGTGCTGTTTGAGCGAAAACGAAAGTGTAGAGAAAAATTATAGTGCAACGTTGCAAATAATTGCAGGTCATTCTCTTAAAATAGCAATTTTTACCGTACAGAAATACTCACAGAAGAATTGAGTTGGTTAGATTAGTGTGTGAGTCAGGAGGTTTGATAAATTTAGTTTAATTTTCGATTTCATCATTTTCTTAGAAGCAAAAGTCAGATATATAGGTCGGCGAATTCTTGGAACTGGTTTTAGATGAAAGAGCAGATGATTACCAATTCTTGGAAATACATATATATATTAATGATTCGCTTTTATTCAGTTGCAGTGACCTTTAGAAGGTATTCCTTACTATGAGTAACTAAAATAAAAGAGCTGAGGAATAACACAGAGGCATTTTAAATATTCTCCCTCGCTCTTTCATGCTTATGCCAAATTTCTTTCTCTCGTGCCTGTTTAAGCCATTTCTCCCTACGCAAACAAACAAACACTCTTAAAATATAATTACAATTATCTTCTTCCTTCTTTTTATGCTGGTTCTCCCTTCTTCCTATTGTCCGTTGTTTCTCCCTGTCTTCCCTGTCTCCCAGTTCCTCCCATTTCCCCCTCTCTCCCTGATTCGTTCCTCCGTTGATATGAGTTTTTGACTCCTATTCTCATTAGTGCTACCGAATAGTTGACTACCATGTGGTCGGCTATAAGAAGAATTTGACACTCAAATTTTCCAGCCTCGCTCGGCCATGTGATTATTATGACAAGACCTTGATTCGAAGACAATCGGAAAACTATGTTTAACAGCTATCAAATATCTTTTTTATTCTCGTTATAGATAACGCTTTATCATTATACTAATGAGAGCAATGCTCAAAGCATTAATAAGCATAAAGTCATTTATGGATCCACCGATGAGACTCCAAAACAGCACCGACGTTTTGGAAAAGGTAAAAGACTGCATCAGTAAATCTTAAGGTTGAAATATTCTTGACTAAAACTGTATGCTAGCCCAAACGTGACAAAACTTCAAGTTGCTTTTTTTCATGATCAAGCAGTACTTTTTATACATCAAGTTGATTTTCATTACACCAAGACCCTTGTGTTCTATGTCTAGTCATTTGTTTCGCTTGTCTAGTCATTTGTTTTTGATATCAAGCGCAATGTTTAAGTTGACAAGCAGCCATCACAATCAAAAGAAGATTGATTTCGATCAGCTTGTGATCGATGAACGCGCTAGGTCTGGAAGCTAGTCGCAGGGCGGGAGGAGGGAACACGTGTTGGAGGAGGGAGGGCGTTGAAACGGGCATGAGCACTACTATCTTCTCCTGAGTGCTTCTAGCGTTCCCCTTTGTATGCAAATCGCAAAGACCTAAATGACTTTTGATTGTGATGGCTGCTTGTCAACTTAAACATTGCGCTTGATATCAAAAACAAATGACTAGACAAGCGAAACAAATGACTAGACATAGAACACAAGGGTCTTGGTGTAATGAAAATCAACTTGATGTATAAAAAGTACTGCTTGATCATRAAAAAATGCAACTTGAAGTTTTGTCACATTTGGGCTAGCATAAAATCTGCATAATGTTGCCATTGCCACTCAGTTCTGGTTCAATATTATTTCAAAGATTAATTTTAATTTCATTATATCAGTCTTATCGTCTTCCTTATTTTGATATAAAGATATCTGTTTTCGGCTTTTTGTTTTCAGGAGTGTACTTCACATCTATCGACCCATCCAATGACCTTAGGTCCATTTTACTTAACAACTTTGATGATGCTGGTCGTGTTATCAATAGTGGACGATTGCGGGACAAGACAGAATGGGTTATTGAGGTGTCCATCCCTAGAAATGAAGTGGAGAAAGTGCCTGAAGACAACCGTGATGTCTACGTGTACCGGGGACACGTTGATCTAACTCTTTACAAGCATCGAATCTACCCGAACCCAAGACGTTAGTGAAAGATTACCATTAGGGTAATCAAGAACGTCAATAGTTCTTTCTGTGAAATATTCACAGAGTTCTTACCCATGATTTTTTTTATTGTTAATATCATACCCATGTTTAGATGCATCTTTCAACAAACTACCTGCTGATGCCTAAATATGAAATAAAGTATAAAATTAAATTGCATTTTACCGTCAAAGTTTCTTTTCTGTATATTATGTTTAGGTTTTTAGATTTTTAGATTTAGACATGGCACCGGAATCGCCATGGCACGGGTTCAAGTTTATATTTTGCAGCTGCATAAGTTGCTTGATATACTGCGCAGATCATAAGATACATTATAACCGCAGTACAAATATATAGTCTATATATATTCTCATACACACATATCTCCTATCGGACAGATAAACCCACATAATGTGTGTCCTTGTAGGTCTCATATAAGACTTGGTAGCTCAGTGGTTAGAGCCCGGGGGGGGGGGGTACTCCTTTATATTTGCTATACGGGTATGTGCCGCCCTATAGGGTATGGTTTTTCGGCTTTTGGGTCTGGGGTAGGGTATTATTTTTTGACATTTTGTCTGGGATAGGGTATCATTTTAGTCTGGGATAGGGTTTGGTCATTTTTGTCTGGCGAATAGGCTACGCTTTCTGCCGGCACAAAAACAATAAAAACGTTAGTAAATATTGATTACAATCGCTTGTAAGACCGTGTTTTCCGTCTTTTAGTCTGGGATAGGGTGTACAATTCTTAGTCTTAGTCTGGGGCAGGGTATGTAAAATCAAAATTTTAGGTCTGGGATAGGGTCAGGGTTTTGAGATCCTGGCGGCACACCCCTACCCAAGTTGGGGTGGTAGTACCCCCCCTCCCCCCCCCCACCGGGGGTTAGAGCATGGCAACGGAATCGCCAGGGAACGAGTTTAATTCCGTTTAAGACTCTGAATCTTATAATTAGCAGCTGCTAAGTTGCTTGATACACTGCACAGATCAACTCAGTTACATACATTGAGTTTTTGTTGTATTTTGAAAATATAGTGTGAGTTTTTCAACTCAAAGTAATAAAACGATTAAACTTTAGTAGCATACCAAGCGCAAAGCGCTTCAAGTCTAATATCCGTTTTCCTTCTGAGATTCAATTGCCATTTTTTTAATATAAGCCCTACGACTGTTGAGCTAACTGACGTTTTAGTCACAAGGTAGTCACTTTGAAACAAAAGATAGACCAGAAGGTTCCCTTTGATTCTCATAAAACCTTGCGATCCCAGTAAACAATTGAAACTTTTTCTTAGAAATCAAAGGGCATCCAGAATAGACCAACAATGTTAAATAAACAATGGACCAGATGGTTCCTTTTGATTCTCAGAAACGCCCTCGCTATCCCAGTAAACATTTGGAGCATATTCTTGGAAAATAAGACAGCGACCCCGCTAAAATGCTGGATTAAAAGCAGTAGTATAAGGATTGGGGGTACCAACTCAATCTCTACCCCTGTATTCACTGTCTAAAGTRGCACCTTGCGGTGATCGTTCGGGTCCCAAGGGGGTGTTTTCCTCCAACGTAAGATTTAAGTTTTATATATGAAGTGTGAAATTCAAAGGAAGGCTGGCGGGGGTTACCCGTGCCCCGTATTACTAGAAAGTCAAAATATTTATTCTATATATGCATGAATGTAAAGAGTTTGTTTATGACTTCTGTGTAAAGTGCTTGAAACCCAAGTTTAAACCCACTAAGCCAAATAAGTATGTTTGTTGTGGTAAAAAAATGCAAATAGAAGATGACACGTCAGCACAGTGTTACGAGTGTGGTAAGAACATTCGCAATGCCGTACCAAATGC